CTTCAGGAAGATGCTGCCCATTCTCAGCGACCAGGACACGCTGTGGTGCGTTCTAGCACACTTTTTGTGCCATCCTAAGGGAGATATGATTGCTTTTTGGAGAGACCCCTATGTGTTCTACAAAGCACTTTCCCAGGCCTACCCTACCGACAACTCCATCAGAAGCCGCGCGACCCACACACACGTCCGTCCGCCAAATGCTTGCTGATGCCTCATCCGCCAAAGTCAAGTCATCTCAAACACAGCCGCTCAGCTTCTGGCGTGTGCTGTGGTGTGCAGGGTGCGCCCAAGCCGACGTCGATATTTGGCTACCACAGGCGGGCATCGCCCCCTCCCTGACCACCTCGTCACATGACAAGAAGGCGACACAAGACCTGGACCTGGGTGGGCCAGTGGGCGGCAAGACGGCGGGGGGGCCGTTTGCGACGGTCACTGGGGCAGCGGCTGCTCGCGAGTCGTCACTGGAGTAAGCGAGCGGGGAGGGGTAGGGCATTGTGTATGAGTGAGGCCATGTGTGTGTGTGTGTGTGTGTGGAGTGATGAGATAGAGGAGGAGATCGAGGCCGACGGTGAGTATGACGACGAGGAGTTCGAGCCCTCAGACGATGGACAGATCATCACGCGGGATGACCAGCCCACAGGTGGGTGAGCAATATGACTGACACAAACTCTCGACAGACACGCGGAGATGGATGTGTTGGTGTGTCTGTCTGGTGTTCACCAGATGAGGGCGGCAGACAGGCCGATTTCGACCCCACTGCAGCCCCCCCATCGCACGATCAACACACACAAGACAACGACCAACCTACTGCTGCGGTGAGAGAGACGACCACCAGACGGACGAATGAATAGGCACCAAGCTGCCGCTCACTGTCCATCTGTGTGTGTGTGTGTGTGTGTGTGCAGGCGTCATTGCCCGACCGTGCGGCAGGCCCAGGTCAGGACGGGCAGCCAGCCGATGGGGAGGACGCAGCACCATCCAGCGACGAAGAGTGAGCACTAAATGAATGCAGTAGCTGGCCAACACACACATTCCCCACTCCCTCATGTGTGCTTGTCGGTCGGTCATCAGTTTTGGCATCATTACGTCTGGTTGTGACATCGAGGCGGAGAGCGCCGATTTTGACGCCATGGTCGACGAGGGGGAGGACGTCATCGACCTGGACGGACGCACAGCCATGACTGAATGAATGACGGACTGACTAGTCAGCAAACCGACAGACCGGCCGATGGATCGATCGAGGAGGTCTTCACGCGACAGACACACACAGAGATATCGGGAGGGATCGAGATAGGAGACGCGGGCAGGCAGGCAGGCAGGCAGGCGTGTTTTCTTGTGCTGGGCGGTGGGTGGCTAGTGCGTGCCATGCTTTTCTCGGTCCCTTTCCTGCCAGCCAGCCCACCACACACACTGTGTGGGGCGTTGCGTGGTGGGCCCTTTAGCATTTAATGAGAAGCGTGTCGTCAAGACCGACAGACAGACAGCAGCCGGACGTTTGTGATCGACCCGTCTCGTGTGTGTGTGTGTCTGACGAGCAGTGCATCCGTGCGTCCTTCGATCCATCTTTGGGTGGTTGGGACGCACGTGCATACAAACAACCTTGGCTGTTTTGGAAGGAAGATTGGAATGCGCTCACGTTGTCCGTCCGTCGGTCGCTGTGATGATGTTTCTCACACTGCACAAAACGCCGACACACACTAGCTGGACAGCCTCCCACACACCGGAAGAGAAAAAACTGCCTGTGGCATTCACTTGGGCTATTGCACAATTGCTATAGCAATCGATGCCGCCACGGCATGGACGCAAAAACTGCCAGCGAGTGACCGAAAAATACCAGCCAGCACCAGCAACACCCACCCAATCACCGCTTGGACACGCACACACACACACACACACACACACACATGTACCTGGCCGCACCCCGCTCTCATCCCTCGCACCCCCAGCTCGTTCATTTTGTCTTCAATTAAGCACAGTGTGAGCAATGGCGGCACCGAAGGAAGGAGCCGAGTATCTCGTTTGCAAGGGCCCGGCCGGCCGCCTGGCCCGCCTGATCGCTGAACCGAAAGTGGATACCAGCAAAGATGCGGGCCTGGCCGGCCTCAGCGGCCGCCTCTGAGAAACTGGTGTACGTTCGCTCCCCTGCGATGGCGTCGTCACCTGCACAGACCCATACACAAAACAGCACAGCACAGCACACACGCATCCAAAACATGTGTGTGCCCGTCACGTCTGTTCATGCGCACAGTACCCTCGAATGTGAATGTGATTTGGTCGGTGCAGTAGAAGGCGGCCAGGACGGTGGACCCAGCACCGGCAAACGTGCTTTGGCCTGTCAGGCCGACAGCAAGAGATAGATAGAACCATACGAGAGACACAGGCAGGGGGTCGACATGCTGCAGGTACACGGTTGGCTACGGTATGCGTGTGTGTACCTGATGTGTGTTCGGGTGAGCTTCCCGGGCTGCCGTTTCGCGGCGTCCAGCCGTCCACTTGCACCGTCTCGCTGTTGCCATCCGTGTTGGCCTCTCGAATGGCCGTCTGGGGCCGCCAATGGCGATACTGCATGGCACATTCAAAGAGAGAGAACAACGATGGACTCGATGCGGGTCGATGAGTCGAGTCGTGCAGCTGAGTGCACACCCCACCCACACACACATACCGTGAACTTGCTGTCCCAAGCGACGATGGTAGAATCGGCCAACGCAGCGCTCAAGAGCGCAAACAGCCGCGCCGTTCCTGATAGCGACTTTGTTGTCCCTTGCTGCTCCGCCACCACCTGGCCGATCTTGATCCACTCACCTGCATCGAGAGAAACTGCCGGTGAGCCACGGAGGTAGGTATGTACCATCATCCCCTCACTCACTCACCTGGGGGCCGGGCGGAGCCGCTGCCACCCTTCCAGAACCGGAATATCTCCTCCTTTGTCTGGTTGAAGTCGCTAGCGTCGCCTTCCAGACGCGCCTCGCTGTGGTCCCTGGCGTATTCGGGACTGTCAAGAGCGGGAGGCCCCGGGCTGCGGTAAGGCGCCTTGTCTTTGATGCCGAAGGGATCCATATTGCGGTATTGTGCACTTGTCCAGTCCTGTCGAAACTCCCCCACTTGGTCACTTTTCGCGAGGGTTTCCGACGGGGACGACCCGTCGTCCTTGCGGGCCGTGACGACTTGGCGGCCGACCATGGCGCCCCACTGGACGCCCCTGTCGAAGTTGTCTCCGCTGCGGGACTCAAGATCCTCTGCCAATTGCGCATTGTAGGTATCAGCCATGTCCGGATAGAGACCCGCGAGCACTGCGTGAGCGGCTGCAGCGGCCGCAGCCTCTCTGTCGGCGCACTTGGGGGCTCCTACAGCCCCAACAAGGGCTGGGTAGCGGGGGCAGGTTTTGCTTGAGGACGACGAAAGGTCGATGCCGTTGACGGCGTCAAACATGGCCAAGTTGACCATTGCGTAGGTCCGGGAGGCCTCCGCCGCCCCAAGTTCCTTCGAGCGGACGGTGTCGAGTGTTTGGTTGTTCCATCGAAGGATGACGTCCCCGCGGCCATCTTCTGCAGTACAGCCAGCTGCGCTGTGCGAATGATGACGTTCCCATTTCCGCCATCTCTTGTGCCTTCTGTGGACGGCCCCGAGCAGTTCTCGCCTTTCTGCACAGAAAGCGCCCCGCCAGAAAGAGAAACCGCCCTCGTCACATATCACATTACACACAAGTGAGTACTTACTTTCAGTGTTGGCGTTGGGCACCTTGAGCGGCATGGAAGGGCGACCTCGGGCGCCACATGCGCCAATCAGAGCTAACAGCAACCACAAGGTCAGAGCCATCCTTCTTGCTCTGAGTGGAAGAATAATCCTCTACCGGTAACGGCCAGCGATTCGCGATTTTTTATTTCTGTCGAGACGGACGGCATTTGACTCAGGGGGTCTCGTTTCCGTGTTGGCGTTGTTTCTCGGGACACAAACGCATCATGGTCTAGGCGAGGGGGGGGGGTTGGATTTCGCCGTGGGCGTCTCCCAGTCTCGCATGCGATCCCTGCCGACCCGTTCGGCCAAGTGGGCCTTGTGTGTCTAGAGCACAGCTGTCGTCCCTTGACGCCAAATGAGCCACGTCGTGGGGTCAACGGCAAAAGTGAATATAAGTATCTTAGCATGGCAAGGCAAGGCTGCGGCCTCATTCACTTGACGCTGTCTGCATAAGTGCCCTCCCCCTGACTGTACAGACAGACCCGTATTGAACACGACAAACCAGCACCGAACTACTCGCTTCATCCAATCCATCCGCTTGGCGCCCCTCCCCCCTCCCTCATCGATCGTCACAGCCGGCTGGCTATGCTCATCCCGACCACCACTTTCGTCACCAGGTTGTCCATTAGATTGAACCTCTCACGAAGCTCCTGCCTGCACACCATCCACATGGCCCCATGGTCTGTCTGTGTGATTGCCCACATTGCCCTTGTCAGTCAGCAGCTGACTGACCTGACGTCTGCGAGCGGCTTGAGGTCCAGGAGCAGCTGCCGCAGACTGTCGAACTCGTCCACGTATGACGAGTGCTTGGCCGCGTCATTGTGGTGGTCAGCAAGGAAATCTATGCCCCCACACAAACACACACAGTCACGCGACAGACATCCAGTCAGTCACGTGTCTGTCGCGGCTCGATGTGCTTGGCTTGCGTGGTACCTACCTGCGACTGGAATGCCGTTGTCTGGGTTGATGAAGAAAGAGAGCGGCGAGTTGTCCACCAAGACCACACGCTTCAAGCAGCCGCGAAAGCGGCTAAGGTCCTACACACACACCGAGAGAGAGACAGGCAGTCAGCAGCAGTACATGACATGGCCACCATACCATTCTTTCTTTGCCTTTGTACAGCTGTCTTGCTTCACCTTGAGAAAGACACTTGCGTTTTCTTCTGATGGGCCCCCTCCCCCGATGACCACCCTTCTGCACGAGTCTCTGTACAGCCGCCTGGGCAAGTACCTGCGGTGAGGGTCAAGCTTCCTCATCACACGCTCCGCATAGCCTTCCACACCGGCTGATATACCGATCAGACACCCACCCCACGCACCCACACACACACGACAAACACAGATGGATGCGATGAGTGCATTCAACAAACCCAGCAGTGCAGTGCAGTGCATGTGAATGAGTGAGTGCCTCAGGGACCTGTGTACAGAGCTGTCTCAAAGCCGTTCTCTGTGCACCACCGCAAGATGGCCTCAGCGCCTGGCCGTACCGACACCGAGTACCGATCCCCCGCTTCCATCGAAAGCTCAAAATCGACACCCTTTCCGCCATTCTGCTGCGGCCCACCCGCCCTCGTGTGCACCAAGGTTTCGTCCAGATCAAACACCACCAGCAACTTCTCCGCGTCAGCTGCGTCGGCCGAACTCGCCTCAACTGCCCATGTGCTCGAAGTGCGCTGACCGCCACTCCTGCTCCTCTTGGAGGATATTCGTTGGTGGTAAACAGGAAAGCTGCGGTGGTGCAGGGGCACAGGCTTCGACGATGCAAGCAGAGTGCTGAAAGCTCGAGGGCTTTGGTGAGGCCGACAGATGAAATGCAGGGATTCAGATCTGAGTCCCGACATCACCTCAGCATGGATGCTCCTCTTCGACGATCGGCAGCGCCACATATCGGGCTCTCACCCTCAGGAAACCGCTACAGGGTTCTGGGGTTCAGGGTACCGCCTGGCTCGCAGAAGACAAGAAGTTCTCACGAATCTCGTTACACTAGTCAAGCTGTGGACATCGATGTCAGCTCCTGCGGCAGCTGTCGACCATTCCCACCCTGGCGAGCAGAAGAGGGCAGCAGAGGCGCCGCCGAGCGAGTCACCCAGGCCTCGATGCCAGCCTGACACTGAGGCGGCGTACACGATGGGAGGAAGGAGGACCTTCAGCGACGGAGGAGAGCCATTCGGCACCAATCCGCATTTGTATGACGGAAGGGGCGGCGGGAGGGCCAGTGGCTTCGACAGCATGAACCCTTACCTCATGCCCTTCATGCCCGCCTCCCCGCCGACCTACCACTATGGACCCTCCTTCCCACAGCAGCAGAGAGGCGGCTTCGTCGACAGCACATTCGTGTCAAACCGACCACCACCCGGCTCCTGGATGGCTCCACAGCCGAGTGCCGCACCCAGCGGCCCGACTTCTCGGTCATGGCAGCCCGACACATCAGCATCGAGCAGTGAGGCGGCCTCCTCCGATCCGTCGCGGGGCGCGAGAGGCGCGCAGGAGGCTCTCGCTCTCATACAGCTGATGCAGAACGTGCGGGCGCAGGCATCCCTCGCCCAGCAACAGCAGCAGCAGCAGCAGCAGGGCGAGAGTGTCGGGAGGGAGGCGAGGATGTCGCCCTCGCCGTCATCGCGTTTGGCCGAGTCGATGCGTTGCGACGATGACGGGCGCAACAAGAGGGAAAGGTCGCCGTGTGAGGTGGCCAAGGGGGCGGGGGACGATGAGGCCGCGAGGGCCGGTGGCGAGAGGGGGGACGAGTGGGTGGACTGTGGGCATGGGTCGGCGGCAAGTGATGACGGGAAGCACGAAGAGGTCACACGAAACAGGTCGGTCAGTAGGAGGGTGTGGTGTGGTGACCCATGGGTGTCTGTCTGTCTGCTCATTTGGCTGTCCTTTGTGTTGTGTGGATGTCTGTCTGCAGCAAGAAGGTTCGTCTCGACCCGACTGTGTTCACGCCGAGCATGCTGTCCGAGTTTTTGGAGCCGCCACACGACAACCAGACCTTCTCCAATGACCTCCTCTCACTCACAGGTGAGTCGGTCAAATGGGCGGGCGAATGAAAACACGCATTCACACAGCCACACCCGCCCTCCATCCATTCATCGTGAGTCGTGTGTGTGTCTTGTTCATTCAGAGGAGAATGAGCTGCTCAAGACCCAGATCACCAAGCTGGAAAGCCTGGTGTCCGAGCTGCAGATGAAGATATCCATGACGCGGTGCTCGGCCGACGCCGAGCTGCTCTCCAAAATCGACATGGACTCTGTGACCTTCTCCACCACACTCGCAGACCCCTCGCAGAACGACTGCCCCATCGTCTCGGTGTCGCAAGGTCAGTGGCGTGCCATAGAGACAGACCCTCTCCGTGTGGTCTCGTCTCCTGAGTGGCTGTCGCGTGTGTGTGCGTCGTGTGCATCTATCTATGTATCTATCAGGCTTCTGCGATTTGACTGGGTACAGCCCGTGGGAGGTGTGCGGCATAAACTGCCGGTTCATGCAGTGCGAAGAGACCGACAGGGAGGAGGTGGCCAAGATTGCACGGTGGATCCAAAACCTTACCAGCGCCACTTCGGTATGTCAATATGTCACACACGCAGCGCAGAGAGAGGCTAGGCTGCTCGTCTCGTCTCGTCACGTGCCTGCCTGCATCCGTTCGTTCTTTCTGCGTGCCGTTTGTTTTCTGCCTTCAGGTGCAAATGTGTGACGACTTGGTTGTGAAGATTCTGAACGTCAAGAAGAACGGGGACCAGTTCTGGAACCTGCTGCACCTGTCGCCCATGTTCATCGCCAAGAAACTCTACATCATCGGTACCCTCACTTTACTCACACCCTCACACAGAAATGCCATACATTTGTTGTGTTGTGTTGTGTTGTTATGTTGCTGTCGTCCATTCATTCAGGTGTGCAGTCCGACGTGACTGGCCGCAATGTTGACCCGAACATCTGCGACCACCGAGACTTGGTCAAGCGAGTCGTCACGCGATTCTTCGAGGCGCGGGACCCCCACGCCCAGCTCTTCATCTGACAATGAATGACTGACGACCGATGGATGCTGCTCATCTGATTGAGGCCCGGGCGCAGAGGTCGGCTTTTTGGGCCCTTACCTTGCTGCTGCTGATGTCAAGTTCAAACCCTAGGCCGGGTCGGCTCCATCTGAGCGATTGTTTCTCGGATGCGATGCGCGGATCGTCTGAACCCGAGAGGGACGTGTAGATGTGTGAGTGTTCGGGTCGGTCTGCGGGCAGTGACAATGGCAGGGGAGTGAAAGCGGGCCGACAGCTTGTGTACATGAAGATGGAGACGAGACGATACGATAGCAGTGTGCGAAAAGGCCGGTGAGGACCTTTCCTGTAGTTAGCTGAATAGAGGATCTGCTGCGCGGTAAGTCCCAGAGTAAGAGTGCTTTTACTTTAATAAGACCGATGGACTGGCCAATCAGTCAAAGTT